GGCATTTAGGGCGCTTTATACTGCCTACGTAAGTCCAGTCTTAGAGTATGCCGCCTCATCATGGAGTCCCCATCTGAAGAAGCATATAAAGAAAGTGGAAAAGGTTCAGAGGCTTGCAATGAGACTCGTCCCAGAGTTACGAGGGATGGGGTATGAGGAGCGCATGTAGGAACTGTGCCTTACGACACTAGAAAAAAGAAGGGAAAGGGGGCACATGATAGGAACGTATAAAATACTCAGGGTGATTGACAGAGTGGACATAGACGAAATGTTCACACGGAATAGTAATAGAACGAGGGGACATGGGTGGAAGCTGGAAACTCAGATGAGTCACAGAGATGTTAGGAAGTTTTCTTTTAGCGTGAGAGTAGTGGAAAAATGGAATGCACTTAAGGAACAGGTTGTGGAAGCAAATACTGTTCATAATTTTAAAACTAGGTATGATAGAGAAATAGGACCAGAGTCATTGCTGTAAACAACCGATGCTTGAAAGGCGGGATCCAAGAGTCAATGCTCGATCCTGCAGACACAAATAGGTGAGTACACGCACTCTCACACACATACACACACACACACACACACACACACTTGGGGTCTGGTAGCTGAGTGGACAGCGCGCAGGTCTCGTAATTCTGTGGCCCGGGTTAGATTCCTGGACCAGGCAGAAACAAATGGGCAAAGTTTCTTTCACCCTGATGTGCCTGTTACCTAGCAGTAAATAGGTACCTGGGAGTTAGACAGCTGTTACGGTGCTGCTTCCTGGGTGTGTTTGTGGGGGGGGGAGGGGGAATACAAAACAAAAAATAAACATTAGTTTGTTAGTAGTTAGTCTCGTAGTCCTAGTCTCGAGCTGACTAGGTCAAGAATCTAGCGCCTCTTGCTGGTATAATTCTGTCCCCACTAGATGGCGTCGTGTATTTTGTGGGGGATTTCGGGAGCGAACTCATAGATGGCACTGACGTCGCTGCTCCGTGCTCCGACGATGGAATCGGGTTCGTAACACAACCGGAAAGTTGGAAGACAGCTAACGTAGTCCCAATATACAAAAAGGGTGACAGGCAAGAGGCACTGAACTACAGGCCAGTTTCCCTAACTTGTATACCATGCAAGGTGCTGGAGAAGATCGTGAGGAAAAGGCTCGTAGAGCATCTGGAGGGAAATAGCTTTGTAACGCACCACCAACATGGGTTCATAGATGGTAAATCGTGCCTCACAGGTTTAATAGAATTATATGACCAGACAACAAAAATTAAGCAGGAAAGAGAAAGGTTGGGCCGACTGCATTTTCCTGGACTGCCAGAAAGCCTTTGACACAGTACCCCATAAAAAGCTGTTAAAAAAGTTGGAGCAACAGGCAGGAGTAAAAGGGAAGATAAGGATAAGGGAGTATTTAAGTATCAGGAAACAGCGAGTAATTGTGAGGGGGGAGACATCAGAGTGGCGAGAAGTCACCAGCGGAGTCCCACAAGGCTCAGTACCTGGTCCCATCCTGTTTCTAATATATGTAAACGATCTTCCAGAGGGTATAGACTCGTTCCTCTCAATGTTTGTTGATGATGCAAAAATTATGAGAAGAGACAAGACAGATGCAGATAGACAGAGACTACAGGATGACCTGGACAAACTGGAGGAATGGTCTAGAAAATGGCTGCTAAAGTTCAACTCAGGAAAGTGTAAAGTAATGAAATTAGGCGAATGGAGCAGAAGGCTGAACACAAGGTACCATCTGGGAGGTGAAATCCTGCAAGAGTTAAATAGAGAGAAAGATCTGGGGGTTGATATCACACCGAACCTGTCCTCAGAGGCCACATCAAAAGGATTTCATCAGCGGCATATGCTAGGCTGGCCAACATAAGAACTGCCTTTAGAAACTTGTGTAAGGAATCGTTCAGGACCTTGTATATCACTTATGTCAGACCAATCCTGGAATATGCAGTTCCAGCCTGGAGTCCATACCTAGTTAAATACAAGTCGAAGTTAGAGAAGATTCAGAGGTACGCCACCAGACTCGTCCCGGAATTGAGAGGAATGAGCTACGAGAAAAGGCTAAATTAGGAGCTGAACCTCACGTCCGTGGAAAACAGAAGAGTAAGGGGAGACATGATAACTACCTACAAAATTCTCAGGGGAATTGACAGGGTGGACAAAGACAAACTCTTCAGCACGGGAGGGACACGAACAAGGGGACACAGGTGGAAACTTAGTACCCAAATGAGCTACAGGGTCGTTAGAAAGAATTTTTTCAGTGTCAGAGTAGTTAATTAATGGAATGCATTAGGAAGTGATGTGGTGGAGGCTGACTCCATACAGTTTCAAATATAGATATGATAGAGCCCAGTAGGCTCAGGAATCTGTACACCAGTTGATTGACAGTTGAGAGGCGGGGCCAAAGAGACAAAGCTCAACCCCCGCAAGCACAACTAGGTGAGTAAACACACACACACACACACACACACACACACACACACACACACACACACACACACACACACACACACACACACACACACACACACACACACACGAGGGGCAGGACCAGGGGTCGACAAAGCAGAGTGCCAGTCTGAATTAGAGCTTCAAAATAGAGCCACTTTAAATTACCTCTTCAAAGCAGAGTGTGTATTTGAATTAGATTTTCAAAGCAGAGCGCCAGATTGAATTAGATCCTGGTGGCAGTGGCACAGTGCCTCAATAACGTGCCGCAGGAGGCTGCGAGGAGGAACAATGGCAGCTGAAGTGCCAATCAAGCGCTCCACTGACCCGGAGCGAGATCCAACAAGCATTCACCCCATCCACTTGCGAAGCCTGTATATCTTTCCACAATCATGGGGGTTTCTTAACATTTATTAAACAGTGTTCCAGCTTGTTTACAACACAAGGCTCTTATTATTTGTCATGTTTATAAGCAGCCTCGTAGTGCTTCGGAACTGATAAACTGTTCAGTAAGTGTAAATAGACATAAGGATTAAGGAAAGATCTACGGGTTTCGAAAGAGTAGCTGGAGTTGCCAGGGCCTCTCCAAGTCCAAGTTGTTAAGTTCTAGTAAATAATTTAAAGAGCTATGACAAAACTCTTAAAAACTCTGCATTCTCTTGAGCGCAGGCGAGAGAGATACATAATAATTTACACGTGGAACACAGAAATAACACCACAAGAGACCATGCAGAAGGCATGGCAGGATGTGCAGAATGCCCCCGTTGAAGAGCAGAGGTGCAACAGGTACTCTGAGAGAACTATCAACATCAGAGGCCCGAGACTGTTCAACACGCTTCCACTACACATAAGGGGCATAACTGGCCGACCGCTCACAGTGTTCAAGAGAGAACTATCAACATCAGAGGCCCGAGACTGTTCAACACGCTTCCACTACACATAAGGGGCATAACTGGCCGACCCCTCACAGTGTTCAAGAGAGAACTATCAACATCAGAGGCCCGAGACTGTTCAACACGCTTCCACTACACATAAGGGGCATAACTGGCCGACCCCTCACAGTGTTCAAGAGAGAACTATCAACATCAGAGGCCCGAGACTGTTCAACACGCTTCCACTACACATAAGGGGCATAACTGGCCGACCCCTCACAGTGTTCAAGAGAGAACTATCAACATCAGAGGCCCGAGACTGTTCAACACGCTTCCACTACACATAAGGGGCATAACTGGCCGACCCCTCACAGTGTTCAAGAGAGAACTATCAACATCAGAGGCCCGAGACTGTTCAACACGCTTCCACTACACATAAGGGGCATAACTGGCCGACCCCTCACAGTGTTCAAGAGAGAACTATCAACATCAGAGGCCCGAGACTGTTCAACACGCTTCCACTACACATAAGGGGCATAACTGGCCGACCCCTCACAGTGTTCAAGAGAGAACTATAAACATCAGAGGTCCGAGACTGTTCAACACGCTTCCACTACACATAAGGGACATAACTGGCCGACCCCTCACAGTGTTCAAGAGAGAACTATCAACATCAGAGGCCCGAGACTGTTCAACACGCTTCCACTACACATAAGGGGCATAACTGGCCGACCCCTCACAGTGTTCAAGAGAGAACTATCAACATCAGAGGCCCGAGACTGTTCAACACGCTTCCACTACACATAAGGGGCATAACTGGCCGACCCCTCACAGTGTTCAAGAGAGAACTATCAACATCAGAGGCCCGAGACTGTTCAACACGCTTCCACTACACATAAGGGGCATAACTGGCCGACCCCTCACAGTGTTCAAGAGAGAACTATAAACATCAGAGGTCCGAGACTGTTCAACACGCTTCCACTACACATAAGGGACATAACTGGCCGACCCCTCACAGTGTTCAAGAGAGAACTATCAACATCAGAGGCCCGAGACTCTTCAACACGCTTCCACTACACATAAGGGACATAACTGGCCGACCCCTCACAGTGTTCAAGAGAGAACTATCAACATCAGAGGCCCGAGACTGTTCAACACGCTTCCACTACACATAAGGGGCATAACTGGCCGACCCCTCACAGTGTTCAAGAGAGAACTATCAACATCAGAGGCCCGAGACTGTTCAACACGCTTCCACTACACATAAGGGGCATAACTGGCCGACCCCTCACAGTGTTCAAGAGAGAACTATCAACATCAGAGGCCCGAGACTGTTCAACACGCTTCCACTACACATAAGGGACATAACTGGCCGACCCCTCACAGTGTTCAAGAGAGAACTGGATAAACACCTCCAAAGGATACCTGATCAACCAGGCTATGATTCATACGTCAGGCTGCGTCCAACAACCTGGTTGACCAGTCCAGCAACGAAGAGGCCTGGTTGACCAGTCCAGCAACGAGGAGGCCTGGTCGACGACCGGGCCGCGGGGTGGCTAAGTCCCGAAATCTCCTCAATGTAACCTCAAGGCAAGGTAGTGAGGGTAAAGCACTGGTGACTTGCCACCAGTGGTTGTCTGAGGTCTGGAAATATATCTTCGGGTTGATGCAGTGTTTGCTGGTGTGTTATATAAGAGCAAGGTGGCTTCCTGGGTGGCTTCCTGGGTGGCTTCCTGGGTGGCTTCCTGGGTGGCTTCCTAGGTGGCTTCCTAGGTGGCTTCCTGGGTGGCTTCCTGGGTGGCTTCCTGGGTGGCTTCCTGGGTGGCTTCCTGGGTGGCTTCCTGGGTGGCTTCCTGGGTGGCTTCCTGGGTGGCTTCCTGTGTGGCTTCCTAGGTGGCTTCCTGGGTGGCTTCCTCGGTGGCTTCCTAGGTGGCTTCCTAGGTGGCTTCCTGGGTGGCTTCCTGCGTGGCTTCCAAGGTGGCTTCCGGTGTGGCTTCCTGGGTGGCTTCCAAGGTGGCTTCCTGGGTGGCTTCCTAGGTGGCTTCCTGGATGGCTTCCTAGGTGGCTTCCTAGGTGGCTTCCTGGGTGGCTTCCTAGGTGGCTTCCAAGGTGGCTTCCTGGGTGGCTTCCTGGGTGGCTTCCTGGGTGGCTTCCTTGGTGGCTTCCTGGGTGGCTTCCTGGGTGGCTTCCTGGGTGGCTTCCAAGGTGGCTTCCGGTGTGGCTTCCTGGGTGGCTTCCTGGGTGGCTTCCTAGGTGGCTTCGTGGGTGGCTTCCTAGGTGGCTTCCTACGTGGCTTCGTGGGTGGCTTCCTAGGTGGCTTCCTCGGTGGCTTCCTGGGTGGCTTCCTGGGTGGCTTCCTGGGTGTCTTCCTGGGTGGCTTCCTGGGTGGCTTCCAAGGTGGCTTCCAATGTAGCTTCCTAAGGGCTTCCAAGGTGGCTTCCTAGGTGGCTTCCAAGGTGGCTTCCTGGGTGGCTTCCTAGGTGGCTTCCTCGGTGGCTTCCTGGGTGGCTTCCTTGGTGGCTTCCTGGGTGGCTTCCTAGGTGGCTTCCTGGGTATCTTCCTAGGTGGCTTCCTCGGTGGCTTCCTGGGTGGCTTCCTGGGTGGCTTCCTGGGTGGCTTCCTAGGTGGCTTCCTGGGTGGCTTCCTGGGTGGCTTCCTGGGTGGCTTCCAAGGTGGCTTCCGGGGTGGCTTCCTGGGTGGCTTCCTGGGTGGCTTCCAAGGTGGTTTCCTAGGTGGCTTCCTGGGTGGCTTCCTAGGTGGCTTCCTGGGTGGCTTCCTAGGTGGCTTCCAAGGTGGCTTCCTGGGTGGCTTCCTAGGTGGCTTCCTGGGTGGCTTCCTGGGTGGCTTCCTAGGTGGCTTCCTGGGTGGCTTCCAAGGTGGCTTCCGGGGTGGCTTCCTGGGTGGCTTCCTAGGTGGCTTCCTGGGTGGCTTCCTGGGTGGCTTCCTGGGTGGCTTCCTAGGTGGCTTCCTGGGTGGCTTCCAAGGTGGCATCCTGGGTGGCTTCCTGGGTGGCTTCCTAGGTGGCTTCGTGGGTGGCTTCCTAGGTGGCTTCCTGGGTGGCTTCCTGGGTGGCTTCCTAGGTGGCTTCCTGGGTGGCTTCCTAGGTGGCTTCCTGGGTGGCTTCCTAGGTGGCTTCCAAGGTGGCTTCCTGGGTGGCTTCCTAGGTGGCTTCCTAGGTGGCTTCCTGGGTGGCTTCCTAGGTGGCTTCCTGGGTGGCTTCCAAGGTGGCTTCCGGGGTGGCTTCCTGGGTGGCTTCCTAGGTGGCTTCCTGGGAGGCTTCATAGGTGGCTTCCTAGGTGGCTTCCTAGGTGGCTTCCTGGGTGGCTTCCTAGGTGGCTTCCAATGTAGCTTCCTAAGGGCTTCCTAGGTGGCTTCCAATGTAGCTTCCTAAGGGCTTCCAAGGTGGCTTCCAATGTAGCTTCCTAACTGCTTCCAAGGTGGCTTCCAATGTAGCTTCCTAAGGGCTTCCAAGGTGGCTTCCTTAGGGCCTCCAAGGTGGCTTCCAATGTAGCTTCCAAGGTGGCTTCCAATGCAGCTTCCAAGGTGGCTTCCTAGGGCTTCCAAGTTGGCTTTCTAGGTGGCTTACCTAGGGCTTCCAAGGTGGCTTTCTAAGGGCTTCCAAGTTGGCTTCCTAAGGCTTCCAAGGTGGCTTCCTTACGGCTTCCAAGGTGGCTTCCAATGTAGCTTCCAAGGTAGCTTCCAATGTAGCTTCCAAGGTGGCTTCCTAGGGCTTCCAGTGTAGCTTCCTAAGGACTTCCTTAGGGCTTTTAAGTTGGCTTCCTAAAGCTTCCAAAGTGACTTCCTAGGGCTTTCACGATGGCTTCCTAAGGGCTTCCATGTTGGCTTCCTAGGTGGCTTCCTAGGGCTTCCAAGGTTGCTTCCCTACGGCTTCCATGTTGGCTTCCCTAAGGGCTTCCATGTTGGCTTCCCTAAGGGCTTCCATGGTGGCTTCCCTAAGGGCTTCCATGGTGGCTTCCCTACGGCTTCCTTGTTGGCTTCCCTAAGGGCTTCCATGGTGGCTTCCCTACGGCTTCCATGTTGGCTTCCCTACGGCTTCCATGGTGGCTTCCCTAAGGGCTTCCATGGTGGCTTCCCTACGGCTTCCATGTTGGCTTCCCTAAGGGCTTCCATGTTGGCTTCCATAAGGGCTTCCATGGAGGCTTCCCTAAGGGCTTCCATGGAGGCTTTCTTAAGGGCTTCCATGGTGGCTTCCCTAAGGACTTCCAAGGTGGCTTCCTGAGGGCTTCCAAGGTGGCTTCCTGAGGGCTTCCAAGGTGGCTTCCTGAGGGCTTCCAAGGTGGCTTCCTGAGGGTTTCCAAGGTGGCTTCCTGAGGGCTTCCAAGGTGGCTTCCTGAGGGCTTCCAAGGTGGCTTCCTGAGGGCTTTCACGGTGGCTTCCTGAGGGCTTCCAAGGTGGCTTCCTGAGGGCTTCCAAGGTGGCTTCCTGAGGGCTTCCAAGGTGGCTTCCTGAGGGCTTCCAAAGGGCTTCCTAAAGGGCTTCCAGGGTGGCTTCCCTAAGGGCAGTGTTTAACAGTGATTGTGGTCAGATTACCATCACCAGAGCAGTACTGGTGGCCTGGTCACAGTACTGGTGGCCTGGTCACAGTACTGGTGGCCTGGTCACCAGTACTGGTGACCTGGCCACAGTACTGGTGGCCTGGTCACAGTACTGGTGACCTGGTCACAGTACTGGTGGCCTGGTCACAGTACTGGTGGCCTGGTCACAGTACTGGTGGCCTGGTCACAGTACTGGTGGCCTGGTCACAGTACTGGTGGCCTGGTCACAGTACTGGTGGCCTGGTCACAATACTGGTGGCCTGGTCACAGTACTGGTGACCTGGTCACAGTACTGGTGGCCTGGTCACAGTACTGGTGACCTGGTCACAGTACTGGTGGCCTGGTCACAGTACTGGTGACCTGGTCACAGTACTGGTGGCCTGGTCACAGTACTGGTGGCCTGGTCACAGTACTGGTGGCCTGGTCACAGTACTGGTGGCCTGGTCACAGTACTGGTGGCCTGGTCACAGTACTGGTGGCCTGGTCACAGTACTGGTGGCCTGGTCACAGTACTGGTGGCCTGGTCACAGTACTGGTGGCCTGGTCACAGTACTGGTGGCCTGGTCACAGTACTGGTGGCCTGGTCACAGTACTGGTGACCTGGTCACAGTACTGGTGGCCTGGTCACAGTACTGGTGACCTGGTCACAGTACTGGTGGCCTGGTCACAGTACTGGTGACCTGGTCACAGTACTGGTGGCCTGGTCACAGTACTGGTGGCCTGGTCACAGTACTGGTGGCCTGGTCACAGTACTGGTGGCCTGGTCACAGTACTGGTGGCCTGGTCACAGTACTGGTGGTCTGGCCACAGTACTGGTGGCCTGGTCACAGTACTGGTGGCCTGGTCACAGTACTGGTGGCCTGGTCACAGTACTGGTGGTCTAGCCACAGTACTGGTGGCCTGGTCACAGTACTGGTGGCCTGGTCACAGTACTGGTGGCCTGGTCACAGTACTGGTGGCCTGGTCACAGTACTGGTGGCCTGGTCACAGTACTGGTGGCCTGGTCACAGTACTCGTGGCCTGGTCACAGTACTGGTGGCCTGGTCACAGTACTGGTGGCCTGGTCACAGTACTGGTGGCCTGGTCACAGTACTGGTGGCCTGGTCACAGTACTGGTGGCCTGGTCACAGTACTGGTGGCCTGGTCACAGTTCTGGTGGCCTGGTCACAGTACTGGTGGCCTGGTCACAGTACTGGTGACCTGGTCACAGTACTGGTGGCCTGGTCACAGTACTGGTGGCCTGGTCACAGTACTGGTGGCCTGGTCACAGTACTGGTGGCCTGGTCACAGTACTGGTGGCCTGGTCACAGTACTGGTGGCCTGGTCACAGTACTGGTGGCCTGGTCACAGTACTGGTGACCTGGTCACAGTACTGGTGGCCTGGTCACAGTACTGGTGGCCTGGTCACAGTACTCGTGGCCTGGTCACAGTACTGGTGGCCTGGTCACAGTACTCGTGGCCTGGTCACAGTACTGGTGGCCTGGTCACAGTACTGGTGGCCTGGTCACAGTACTCGTGGCCTGGTCACAGTACTGGTGGCCTGGTCACAGTACTGGTGGCCTGGTCACAGTACTGGTGGCCTGGTCACAGTACTGGTGGCCTGGTCACAGTACTGGTGGCCTGGTCACAGTACTGGTGGCCTTGTAATAGGGTCAACAGAGAGTCTGAGAACCATTCAAGTTTAGTGAGATCGCCCGGAACTTGGAGTTCAATCCTTGGGTATGATCCTAGCCACAAGTGTCTGGAGTCTCTGAGCCCTTAAAGCTGGAGGATGAGAGAGGCTGGAGGATGAGAGAGAGCTGGAGGATGAGAGAGGGCTGGAGTTATGAGAGAGGGCTGGAGGATGAGAAAGGGCTGGAGGATGAGAGAGGGCTGGAGGATGAGAGAAGGCTGGAGGATGAGAGAGGGCTGGAGGATGAGAGAGGGCTGGAGGATGAGAAAGGGCTGGAGGATGAGAGAGGGCTGGAGGATGAGAGAAGGCTGGAGGATGAGAGAGGGCTGGAGGATGAGAGAGGTCTGGAGGATGAGAGAGGGTTGGAGGATGAGAGAGGGCTAGAGGATGGAGGATGAGGAAGAGAGGGCTGGAGGATGAGAGAGAGCTGGAGGATGAGAGAGGGCTGGAGGATGAGAGAGGGCTGGAGGATGAGAGAGGGCTGGAGGATGAGAGAGGGCTGGAGGATGAAGAGAGGGCTGGAGGATGAGAGAGGGCTGGAGGATGAGAGAGGGCTGAGAGAGGGGCTGGAGGATGAGAGAGGGCTGGAGGATGAAAGAGGGCTGGAGGGCTGGAGGATGAGAGAGGGCTTAAGGATGAGAGAGGGCTGGAGGATAAGAGGGGGCTGGAGGATGAGAGAGGAGGGTTTGGAAGATGAAAGAGAGGGGCTGGAGGATGAGAGAGGGCTGGAGGATGAAAGAGAGGGGCTGGAGGATGAGAGAGGGCTGGAGCTAGGATGAGAGAGGGCTTAAGGATGAGAGAGGGCTGGAGGATAAGAGGGGGCTGGAGGATGAGAGAGGTCTGGAGGATGAGAGAGGGTTGGAAGATGAAAGAGAGGGCTGGAGGATGAGAGAGGGCTGGAGGATGAGAGAGGGCTGGAGGATGAGAAAGGGCTGGAGGATGAGAGAGGGCTGGAGGATGAGAGAGGGTTGGAGGATGAAAGAGAGGGCTGGAGGATGAGAGAGGGCTGGAGGATGAGAGAGGGCTGGAGGATGAGAGAGGGCTGGAGGATGAGAGAGGGCTGGAGGATGAGAGAGGGCTGGAGGATGAGAGAGGGCTGGAGGATGAGAGAGGGCTGGAGGATGAGAGAGGGCTGGAGGATGAGAGAGGGCTGGAGGATGAGAGAGAGCTGGAGGATGAGAGAGGGCTGGAGGATGAGAGAGGGCTGGAGGATGAGAGAGGGCTGGAGGATGAGAGAGGGCTGGAGGATGAGAGAGGGCTGGAGGATGAGAGAGGGCTGGAGGATGAGAGAGGGCTGGAGGATGAGAGAGGGGCTGGAGGATGAGAGAGGGCTGGAGGATGAGAGAGGGCTGGAGGATGAGAGAGGGCTGGAGGATGAGAGAGGGGAGGAAGGAGAGAGAGCTGGAGGATGAGAGAGGGCTGGAAGATGAGAGAGGGCTGGAGGATGAGAGAGGGCTGGAGGATGAGAGAGGGCTGGAGGATGAGAGAGGGCTAGAGGATGAGAGAGGGCTGGAAGATGAGAGAGGGCTGGAGAATGAGAGAGAGCTGGAGGATGGAGAGAGGCTGGAGGATGAGAGAGGGCTGGAGGAGAGAGAGGGCTGGAAGATGAGAGAGGGCTGGAGAATGAGAGAGAGCTGTTGGATGAGAGAGAGGGCTGGAGGACGAGAGAGGGCTGGAGGATGAGAGAGGGCTGGAGGATGAGAGAGGGCTGGAGGATGAGAGAGAGCTGGAGGATGAGAGAGGGCTGGAGGATGAGTGTGAGAGAGAGAGGTATTTTATCCTCCTAGAGAACATAGTTTAATAACAGTTGCGTTAATTAACATATACTGTTCAGTCTAACAATTAAATACTTGTATATTAATGGTTCTATACAATGGTCAGTTCATCACGCTGGAGTTATCTTCCATCCTGGAATAAGTGACAATGATCAGATGTCATTTTAATACCAAACACTACTTCAGGGCTTAGTAGTTAGTGAAGACTTAAATAGTGTCTTCAGTCTTGACGGCCGCTAGAGAGTCTTGACGGCCGCTATATAGGGTCTTGACGGCCGCTATATAGGGTCTTGACGGCCGCTATAGAGAGTCTTGACGGCCGCTATAGAGAGTCTTGACGGCCGCTATAGAGAGTCTTGACGGC